GATATGGTTCCATAATCACTAAGATAATCATAAAACAAGATACTCAAGTACTCTCCCATCTCTTCAGATTGAAGAAACCTTTATCTCTCTACCTTATTTGATTCTTCTTATCCGTCGTGCCATAAATCGAAATTTTTCCAATGCCTCAGAATTATACCTAAACTTGTAAGTATAACCATATTTACTAAACTTTAGAAAATCATGACGAATAGTCTTATAGATCTTTTGTGGTGGACTTGACCAGTGCACAAGAATGTGTACTCGATCTCTTAGTCCTTCACTTGACTCACATAGACATGTGAACAAGGAATTAGTCTTAATTTACAAAAGATGAAAATTCTCATTCATCCTACAATACAAGTTGCATGATTCCAAGTTTGGCAATGAGAATCTTTCCTTATTTGGTAAATTATTACACTACCACAAATGAAGAATCAAATCCATTTTCCAATATTGCAATCAAATGGAAACATATAAACGACGATTTTTCACAAATGTCACTTTAAGGATACTGAAAATAAATAAAATCAAAACCTTTTTCTTTTATTTTAAAAGCGGAAAATTTATCCTTACAATGCAAATGCATATCAAAAACATGTTATTATCTATTCCTAAGCAATCTCTCATAACTCTTAAGTAGCAGCTCAAAAATTCTGATCATCGAACCATGCAATCGAAATCCATCTATTCGCGATCAGAATCAACTTACTCTTTCTTTAAGCTTCGTTACTCTTATTAGATTCTACAAAACATCAAAATGTAATTACGTTACATCATGTATCGAGAATCTCCAAATAAGAAGTTAATAGAGTTAGATAGTGGATTTTATCTGAAGTAATGTCAAACCTTTTTGACTTTACCATCCTTATGATCTTTCAGGTATATTTGGCAGCTTCACAACCAATGCCCCTTCTTTTGGCTAAAGAAACATGTGGAATCTTTTGAAATGGTACACTTGATTGTCCAGACTTAGCCTTTATCTTTACCATTGAGTAAAACGACTAGACCATGGCTGATCCCTTTCCATTAGGAATAGAAAGGTTTTCTTGACTTCTAATGTCACCATTATCAATGTGCAAATAGGTTTGGGAAGTTGATCTTCTAATCAAATTTGCTTTACTGGTCCTCCAAATCATTGTTGATTCAACAACACCCAACAAATAGATAAGATCATTAAGAGTCATGTTATAGTCTGTTTAGTCCCAAAGGAAACTCACTATGTGACTTAGAAAGTGATTGAACAGCCAACTATCTTAAGACTTTGACACCCAACTCTCCCGGCTTGTCAATATGTGACTTCATCTCCAAGATGTGAGCACACATAGACCCTGCTTGCCAATAGGGCTTGAGTGACTTTGAACTATTCAAGAACTTGTGGGTTATGGAAAATAATTAGAGGATGTGGAGGAAGTGAAGTATGATTTCCATGAGCCAACCACGGGACATCGTCATCATTAGGAAAGCTTGTTCCAAAAGGACGAGGAAGACCATAGTTATCTGAACTTAGACATCTATGAGGGGGAAATTCAAGTTTCAGTTGATTTAAGTCATTAACATAACACCCAATATGAAATATTAAGGCTAGGACCCAAAAAACTATTTTATAACTTGGAAGAGGGATGTCGTAATCCAAGCTACAAAATATTTGAAGGTAGGTAAATGACGATTTACCAATTTCCACCATGAAAAACAAAATAAATTATTAAGTTTTAATTGGATTTGAAACTCCTAGATCTTTTGAGATTCATTGAACTTTCAATGGCATGTTTAAATCTCGATTGTGCCCTCTCAAGTTTGTGACTGGGATGCCGAGGATCACAATAAAGGTGTGAATAACCATGCAAATTGACTTGGTACCCTTAATTTTATCACCCAATCGATGTGCTGGTTAACCACACGCGCTCCACCGATCTATGATAAAACTTACATCACCCTTTGCCACACATTTTCAGTCCCATGTTAGTACGCCAATTAACCACACACGCTCCACTAACGACTTAATAAGGTGCAAAGTGTAATTTCATGGGTTAGCACAAAATTCACATTTTCCTAAGTAACTAAGATTGAGAATTTATAAGTGTTTTGTTACTTAGTATTTATCATTATACTTTTAATGAAGGGAGAATTATAGCCCTTTCCTACCCGTTTAGCTAACGACCCTCCACCAGTCAAGGAAGCGATGGGTGAGAGTGGACACCCATTAAACTGCCATTTTATAGGTAGTAACCTTATACCGCCTTATATACTGGCTTCGTGAATGAGGCCTACTAACAGTAAGACTGAATTCATTCTTACACACACACACACACACACACACATATATATATATATATAGGACAAATTGCACGAATGGTCCCTATGGTTTGGTGTTTGTTACGCGCCTAGTCCCTAACTCCATTTTTAATCCTGTCAATCCTTAATAGTTTGGTTTAGTGCATGCCTGGTCCCTAATCCAACCTTCGTTTGATTTTGGAGTTAAAACCCCCACGTGCCTTGCACGTTGAGGGTTATTTCCGTCATTTTACTTATTCATCCTTTAAAAACCCTAGATCGGTGCATCCCCTTTTTCTTCCTCTACGTTTGTTCTCTCATTTCATCTCTCGTTTCTTTAATGGATAAAAAATCAACAATGATGAAATGTAATTGCGGGCAACCAAGTGTTACACTGACATCATGGACCAACAACAACCGAGGAAGAAAGTTTTATGGCTACACAAAAAAGGTAAGGTCGTTTTGATTCTAACTCAAGCTTTTGTGTGATAATGACCGTAAATTTGTTGGATTTGAACTTGACAGGGACCTAAATGTAAGTTTATTGGATGGGTTGATGAGGAAGGATGTGGACGATGTACTAGGATAATTCCAGGGCTATTGAAGGCTAAGAAAAAAGTTGAAGCTGAGAATCAGCTACTGAAGATAATCATTATTTTAAGTTGGGTGTTCATAGGAATCATTATTTACAAGTTGTAGTGCTTAAGAAGATCCAACTAGTATGCTATGTAGGATGTTTTTCTTTTTTGAACTTATTTTGACTTCTATGATCCATGTAATTGGTTGTTGTATGTGAATTTGAAGTGTTTTGAAGTGTTTCTGGAATGTATTTTGATTAAGTGTATGTGAATTTGATAATATTTTGGTTAAGTGTTTGATTAAGTGTTTTTGGAGCTTATTTTGATTTCTATGATCCATGTATTTTGATTAAGTGTTTCTGGAAATTATATGGAAAAGTAAACACTAACAATTGACAAAAATAACCAATAACATATGCTAACAATCGACATAAACAACCAATAGCACAAGTGGGATTTAATAAAGGGTAATTTAGTTTCCATATTTTCCATAACATAGTTTCATACATCAACAAAATGGTTAACCAAAAGAAACATAATTTACCCAAAAGTATTAACCATAAGGACACATTTTTACCAAAAAGACACAGTTTAACCAAAAGAACTGATTAACCAACAAAAAAAACTTTCACTAATGGATCAAGTCCCTTTCCCTCAACCAGCTTTTCCTTTTCCCTTACCAGAACCACCAGGACCACCAGAACCACTAGGAACACTAGGAGCACTAGCTTTTTGTCCCTTACAACTCCTTGCATTATGACCAATGTTGTTGCACTTTGAACAAGTAACCGACTGAAGGACTTTTGATGCACTATTACCCTTCACCATGTCATCAATTTCATAAGCTGATTTTATGCGTTTTCTTCTTTGGTCTACCTATTGTGACACGATGCTTAGGAGGAACCAAAGTTGTTGGACATACAGACTTTCCCACATGCTTCTCCCATTAATGGGTTCAATTTTGAATGAGTACATCTGTTTCCAAGTTTTTAGCCAATATACCTCATGCACCAAAGTTTCTGGTATTCCAACACTACTAGAAAACAGCCCTTTAATGACGCGCAAACAATGACACGCGGTGATTTACGATACCCAAAAGCGTGTACCCTAAATGTAATGTCATCTCTTCTAAAATTTGAAGGATAAAAGACAAGCTTTTCTGCGCGCCCTAAAATTAATGTCAAACAAAAAAAAATTAAAAACACAGAGGGCACTTACTTAAAAATGGGCATCGTCTAAAAATGTTGCTTTATATCTTTTTAATGAAAGGCGCTTTCTCTTCTTTTTCAGCCGGGGGGAAACGAAAATCCCAAAAGTTTGAAAGGTCGCCATTGTTATCCTCTCCCTTATTTCCATCATTTCTCTCTCTCTCTCTCTCTCTCTCTCTCTCTCTAATACCCAAAAAAACCTAATATCACCATCAATCCTCTTTTCTCCTACAACAAAATCGCAATATCACCAAATCTCTGATCCCGTCTTTTGAATAGATCAAACCGCAGGGGTTCTCGATTTCTCTATGTTGATGTGTGGTGACACGAACAAAAAAAAGAGTGTAGCGCCTCTATCTTTCAATCTCATTTGTCGGTTGCTTCAAATCGACTCTTGCTTTCTCTCTCACAGGGGTTTCTTCCATCTACAATATTTCTTTCCGGCGATGAAGTTTTCTCATGATTTTTTGTTGTACTTACAAGCCCTAGGTCCTGATGTGTGTTGCGTGCGTATCTTGCACCTGATGCATCTCCTATCCTAGTACTGATCAAGCTTCGGAATGATTTTTATCCCTCCACCTTCCCCTGCGAATACGCTCCCACCTCCCATATTGTCAAACTCCTAAAACTGCCTCCACGATTGATTGGAGTTTTTGTTTGTTAGTCTTGAACCGAAATCAGTTCCATGATTGATTGAAGTTTTTGGAGAAATCTCACCAATAAACTCTCACAAGGACCACAGTTTCGTGTCTCTAGTATGTAAAGATTGGTACAACACTGAGTGGTGGAGCAAGCGTCATGTGTTTATCGGAAATTACTACTCGGCACCGCCAAAGATTGTAGCTAGGAGGATTCCTCAGATTTGGAGCGTAACCTTAAAGGGGAAACCGAGGTTTTCAGATTTCAATTTAGTACCGGAGGATTGGGGAGCTGATGTTCATCCATGGTTGAGTGTTCTCGCCGAAGCGTATCCATTCCTGGAGGAGCTGAGACTGAAGAGAATGGCAGTTTGCTATTCATTGCAGGTAAAATTTCTACTTTTATTCTCTTAAATGTTAAAATTTATATTATAATCATTTCAAGATTGATGTGAATTTAGGGGTTTTGGATTGTGATACATCGTTTTTTACTTCTGTTAACAAAAAGATGATGTTGACTTTTCATGGTCAAACATATCAATTTTTTAAGTCTCGAGATTTATGTATATTTCAAGTTCTTGTACATACAAGTTGTTACCCTTTACCCTATTTTAAATGTTTTATGTTCTACCTTTTGTTTTCATGGTCAAACAAGAAGGATAATTGGTCTCTTGAAAAAGTGTAAGTGCTTTCTCTGCAGTCCTAAAAGGGAATGCTTCAGGGATCTTGGGTCTAATAATTGTTGATGAAATGTCTGTTTTAGTTGAGGTGATTTCCTTCTTCTTCTTCTTCTTCTTCATTGATACCTTAATTTTTCCTGTAACACCTACAGTTCCTTCATTTTTAAGATTGCTAGATTGCATACTTTACCCTATTCCCTACGTAAACTATGTTTGCTTTTAACAACTTTGATTATTTTATCTGAATTGAATAGAAATTTTTGTTCTGTGATGAATTATGATGACTCACTTCATGTTTTTTGTGTGACAGGTGGTTAATAGTTTGATCTTTGCTCTATCAAACACATTGATCACAAGCAACACATCTACTTCTAGAAATTCTAATTATTTTGATACTCAAGAGATGTTGCATGTTAGTTTTGGAAATGAGATGCTGATGAGTTCAATTACTGGAATGCCCTTGGTCATTCTGACCACTCTCTATATTTGTGATGTTAATAGGTATGTTATGATTTGTGATATGATTCACATGTGACCCCTCACATGTCTTTAGGTGGGGAAGTGTTATGATTGAATCTATTGATGTGGTAAACTTGCCTCCTTCCTAGTATATGTCTATGCTCCCCAAAACTACCCCATTGTTAGTTCTAGTTTGGTTCTAGCTAAGATTAAGGTATAAACTTGCAAAGAAAAAGCTTCCAATTCTTAAGCTTGCCAATTCTATCATCAGTTTATGAACCCCATTATAATCTTGATTTTGTGTTTTTTTCTAGATCGATAGCAAACATGAAGCTGCTAGTGCTTATGCTGATGCAACTCACTCATACAAGAAAATAAGCACCAAGGGTATAAACTAAAAAGATAATGATTTTTAATCCATTTTTTTTCCTAGATATCTAAAAAAATGTTTTCGTTTTCTTGTTATCTTAAATGTCTGCAGTGTGCATAGCTAACCTAGAGCAAGCATTAAACATTTTCATGGAAATTGGAAGACTCAGCATGGCTGCCAGATATTGCAAGGTACATATATCATAGGATTATCATTTATTTTAGTTTTTTATTTATTAATTTTAATTTAGTTTTTATATAATTTGGTTTCACTATGTAGGAAATTGTTGAGTTATATGAACAGGAGCAAAATTTGGAGCAAGCTATTGCTTACTATAATAAAGCATCTGATCTTTTTCAGGGTGAAGAAGTAACAACTTCTGGAAACCAATGCAAGCAGAAAATCGCACAATTTTCAGCTCAATTGGAATAGTAAGTTTCATATATATTAATACGGGATTAAAATCATGAGTAATAATACCCTGAAAATGTGTTATTACAGATATCAGAAAGCTATTTTTCTAGTAGTGTCTTTCAGTATCCTTCAAACCAATTGCAACAATTTGAAAATGGTGAGTTTCCATGATTCTAAGATTAATGAATCACTCTTTACCCTGTGTTATCTGATGTTTGATTTTACATATGGCAGTTCCAACCATATATCATGTTGATCCAGTAAATTATCCTGGTAGAGAGCAAAATAGCCTTGCCTTTCGGTCCAATAAACGATCAAGGGAAGTTGAGACTAATTTAATGTAGAAAAAGCTTCCGATATCATTGAACCAAAAATTTTATAATGAAGAATCTGATCACCCTTCAAGCATTCCAAACCCACATATTGTATCCACTGGTTTGAAATTATTATCTGATGATGAGGAAAGAAACTCCTTAATCACTTCAGCAAGTGGAAGCATGATTAGAGCAGCACCACTTATGTCTTCTTTTGGTGATAGTTTCACAATTGAACTTGATCGACAGAATGAAGAACTTGAAAGATACATTATGCTTCAGGTACTAATTTGATTCTCTATTTATCACTTTGAAGATGTTGAGATCGAAGCCATAAACCGTATCCGAGGTTTGTGTTCCATACTCTTTTGTGTTATTGCTTGCATTTAATCAGGTTTTACTTATATATCTTTTTTCATTAACACCTTCATCCCTTAACCAAATTCTATATTTCTTTTTTGTACTTTGAAAAAAATCTACCCAGTGTGTGTGTATATATATATGTGTGTGTGTGTATATGTATGTATGTATATATATATATATATATATATATATATGTTATGGTGTTGGTTGTAATTGAAGATTTTGTGGTTGTTAGAAAGAAGTATCTCAGTTGCAAAGCGTGATTAATGGGGGAACTGGAATTGGAAATCATGAAAATGATGCTTGGGCGGTGGGATCTCTGGGAGGCTTCAGATGGGAATGGTTTCATGGATCATTTAGTCCAGTTACTGCTGTTAAACGGATGTCTCAAGTACTTGTTATTGTCACTGATAAAATAAAGTCATAAACTTTTTAATTTTCTGTTTTAGTTGAAAATCACTTTCTTCTATTTGCTTATTACAGTTTCCAACATTCATTTATTGTTTATTCTTAAAAAAATTTCCCAAGTTATTATAATTGAGTAGATTTTTCACAAGTACACTAAGAAATATATTGAAAATACAATGTTTGTGATTAAGTGTTATTTCTTATATAGTAGTTGCTTTTTTGGCATTTGGAATGAAAGATGTTTAGAAGATGTAATTCTAAAAATGTTGAGGTTGTGTGTAATTTATTTGCAGAAGAAAGAATATGAAGTAGCCCTTGTTGGTGCTTTTAATTAGGAGGGAAAAAGATAAAGACCTTACATTACAGGCAGTAACCGTTGAAATCCAGGCTGCCATGAAATTGGTATGTAACTTAACATAGTTGGTTCTAATCCTTTTATTACAAGAAAATGTATATTTTTATGATTTAGTTAGAAGGTTTGTTACTTTATTTTGGGGTATTTGTAGGCAAAACAAAGGGAAGATGAGATCCAGGGATTGAAATTGAGATTAAGGTTTTGTGAGGCTGCAGTAAAGAGGCTTGAGGGTGTGGACAAAGTGAGAGAAGTTGAAGGAAACCCTAATTTTTCCAACAAGGATGTCGGGTGAACTCAACAACCACCAATGGTTGCAGAAGTGAGTTGAAGAGCTGACATGGAGATTAGACTTTGAAAAGCATTTGAGGGTATATTTTTTTATATTTCTTGTATCTAATTAGTTTGTAAATTTTTATTACAACTTTTATTGATTTGTTTTATCTTTCCACGGAATGATTATTTGTATGACATTAAATTTATGCAATGGATTATATTTTTTGTATATGATATTTTATTTTCTATTATGAAACATTAAATACAAATTTAATTTGAAAATAAGTAAATCTATAAATAATATTTTTTTTAAACATTTACAATTATGATACGCAAAAATGTGAGTCATCTTCATTTATGACATGACATTTCTTGACAGCGGCTTTCTTGATACACATTGCATGTCATTTACACGCGCGTCGTAAGGCTATGACGCGCGAATGCATTTCGTCTTCATTTATGACAGAGCCTTCCTTGATACACATTGCGCGTTGTAAACGAGCGTCGTAAATGCGCGTCGTCTCTCTTTATGACAAGGCCTTCCTTGATGCGCATTTGCACGTCGTCTAAGCCTTTTACGACGCACAATGAGCATCGTAAAAGGTTGTTTTTCTAGTAGTGCAACATCGTTACTATTCTTCCTCATCTCCCATATAGTAGCAACATCATGTTCGCATGGCATCCCAGTGAGTTCCCATTTCCTGCAGGAGCATGTTTGTTGAACCACATCCACCGTGCATTGGTCCATCTAAGGGCCACTTACTTGATACTTACCATTTCCACAAAAAAACAGATCTATAATCTTCTTCCTTTTTTTTCATATTTTCCAAAGTATGCATAGCTGTAGGTGTCAAAGGACCAATACATTTCCCAATGGCCTTTTCTACATTCACAATCTTCTTCATTATATATTCCCTAATGAACTCTAGGCAAGTAATAATTGGTTTATCACGACCCTCATTTAGTTTTCCATTGAATGTTTCACACAAGTTATTAAGAATCACATCAGAATGTGCTCTCCCTGTCCAATCACATCACTTAAAGTCAATACTAAAAAACTACGCAAACCAGGATAACATAAAGAATGTTACTAGAATTATACCAGTGAATTGGGACCTAGACCAGTGCTGAGGTGGTATCTTCGTAAGCCACTCATAATAATCCTTGTTTAATTTATTTAGCTCTTCCATGCCTTTGTTAAACTGTTGTACATGTGTTGCAGTTGCACATGTCCATAAGAGGTCTTCGAAAGGTTTACCCCTCCATTGCTTCCTAATGTTATCCCGAATGTGACGAACACAGTAACGATTTCCAGCACAAGGAAACAAGGTTGAAATTGCATCTAGAATACCCTAACAATCATACATAGATTTTGTTAGTAAACAATTTAGAAATAAAGTAAAAAATCTATGATTTTAGTACCTTTTGTCTGTCTGTTATAAAAGTGAAATTAGAATTAGTATTCAAGCCAAGATCCTCCCCAAGATAACTCAAAAACCAAGTCCATGAACTGATGTTCTCTGTTTCAATCACCTCATATGCCAATGGATATATGCCATTATTACCATCTAGTCCCTGCATTTTATGATAAATAATAATCATGAAGAGATTTTTACTTATTTTTATGTATAACAATAAGAAAAAGAACAATAACTAAAACTTACCACGGATGAAAGAATTTGTCCTGGAAATGGACCCTTCATGAAAGCACCATCAAAGCCAAGAAAATCCCTCTTTCCAGCTGCGAAGCCTTTCTTTAAAGCTCCTAAGCATATGTAAATGCGTCTGAATGTCCTCGTTTCAGTGTGTGGATTTCCTTCGCTTTCAACATCAACCCTAATAATCGTATCTGGGTTACGAGTTTGCAACTCAACAATGTAATCTCTGAGTAAACTATATTGAGTAACGAAATCTCCTTGCACAAGGTTTAGAGCCTCAGATTCTGCCCTAAATGTTTGCATCCTAGAAAGATCTACCTTAAACCTCCGTTGTAGCTGTTCTTGCAAAGCCCTAATTGGAATAGTAGGGTCACTTTCAACCTGTTCAACAATGTTAGAAGAGAGGAATTTATACATACATGCTTTTACTGTTCTAGTTTGAAGACATTTATGAACTTTGTTGTGCGTTTTAACTGTCCAGTTGACATCTTTTTTCCATTTACTAGCTAATAAGACCCAAGGACATATTTCTTCTTCATCGTTGACTTCTACATTAGGCCCAAGATTTGGTATTGTTCCCTTAAAAACCCATCTCACTCTATTCTTGTCATTTTTTTCAAGGGCCAACTCCCTTCGAGTCTCTATGGCATGGAGTTTTACCTTATCCTTAAACTCCTTTGTTGAACCATATTTTTGAAAATTATAAAAGGGTTCACTAATAAGTGCTTCATCATTCTCATGTGCCCTTTGAATTGCTCTTATTAACTTCTTTCTTTGACCATTAATCCCCTCATCTGATGATGAATCAGATGCTAAAAAGTCAGTGTTAATCACTTCTAAAGCTTCATCATGTGTGCCTTCATCAACCACAGTGTTAGACGACCCTCCAAACCATTCCACATCTTTATCGATATTCATTTCAAAGTCTTGCATATCCACATTAATATCATCCAATATATTGTCAATGTCCACAAAAAAATCACTATCATCACTTTCATCATTGTCACTCTCTAACTCACCAAACTTACCAAAGTCATTAGCATCATTAACCAAGTCATTCTCCATATGATCAGTGAGAGTAGCATCATTACCCAAATCATTCTCCATATGACCAGTGAGAGTAGCATCATTACCAAGTGAGAGTAGCATCATTACCCAAATCATTCTCCATATGACCAGTGAGAGTAGCATCATTACCCAAATCCTTCTCCATATGATCAGTGAAAGTAGCATCATTACCAAAATCCTTCTCCATATGACCAGTGGGTGTAGGATCATTACCCGATTCTTTCTCCGTGTGATCCATGCCATCCTCCAAGTCAACAACAAGTATGTTATGCCACTCCAGGAACAGTCTCTTTGAAAAAAGTGGAGGTTCAGTAATCTCCATTATACGAACTTTACTGTGGATTGGGGACATTAAATAGGTGTGCAAAGTAGTTTTTTCACGCTCTATATATACCTCAATTAACTTATGCTTAGCCACAAAACTCTCCAAATAACGAACATCTTCATCACTAGCTAAAGCGAATAACCCAAAATCTAAATCGCCTAAAGGCCTTTGAAAGTGATAGTAAAGTGGTTTACCTACTGAAGCATACCCTAGGTCTTCCATCATCTCATCAATGTCATGAACGGAAAAGGTATCAATGTCCAGTAAATCAACAAATGTTTGCTTCCCACGAATATACTTCCTTCCAAGAAAGCTTGTAAACTCACCTCCATGGTGCATTCTTATTGAAAACACTGTCGGATGTCCAACTGTAGAGGAGAGAATCATTTTAGCTAACAAAATTAAACCTTTAACAGTCAATATCATTCAAACAAAAGTCAATAAAACATACCATAACTTTTATCAACGTCGATTTCAGCCATTTCACCATGAATGCGCCAAGAAACCATTGTAATTCTTCGTTCTTGCAGTCGTCGCTCCTAGGGTTTTCACGTAAGGATTTTGCACGTAGTTGTCTGTTTTTTGGGTATACGATTGTGTTGTACAATGTAGAGTATGATCGTTTAATTGAACGCATTGATTTCTTAAACTAGCGGTAGGATGAATAAGTAAAATGACGGAAATAACCCTCAACATGCAAGGCACGTGGGGGTTTTAACTCCAAAATCAAACGGAAGGTTAGATGAGGGACCAGACGTGCACTAAACCAAACTATTAAGGAGTGTTAGGGTTAAAAAATGGAGTTAGGGACTAGGCGCGTAACAAACACCAAACCATAGGGATCATTCGTGTAATTTGTCCATATATATATATATATATATAAGTATTAACTTTTAATATTATAATAATATAAGGGTGTATTTTACACATTTAAAATACTTGGTGGTTTAATCTTATTAATTAAACTATACTCTTAATTTAATTAAATTTAAACTATGCTTTTATGGAATTATTAACTCCTTTAATTAAACACTTTAATTAATTTAATGAAGTCCATAAAGTTTGAATTTTAACTTTTAAAATTCTAGGGTTTGGAATTAAAGTGTACATGGGGGGTGACTTTACAAATTCTAAAACTTGAGGGCAAGTTTTGAAACTTTTCAAAACTCTTGGATTTTCATAACTTATGAGTTTAATTATGGTTTAATGAAAAACTTTTCAAGTTACATAACTTGAGGATAAGTTAAGGAAGACATAAAATCATTTTATGATGACATTAAAATAGAGACTCTTCCATTTTCATAACTTGTGAGACTTAATGTGCTTTTAAATGAGAAACTCTTCATTTTACATAACTTGAGGAAAAGTTATGGAGTTCATAAAAACATTGAGATAAAATTACCAATTAACACATTAATCAAGTAAGTTTTCTATGAACAAGATCAAACTCATAAATAAAGACAATTCATATCAACATTTTTCAAGAACTTAGCTAACCACAAAAATTAACATAAGTCTTGAAACTTTGACAATTATCCTTTATTTGGATGAGAATAAACATTACCATAGTACCAAAAACAAATTTTATGAACAAAAACACTTTGTGGTAATGATTATAATCCAAAACATGCCAAAAAAAATACGAATATATGTTGTCTTGGGGTCCAACTCGTAGAGTGCATGAACAAACTCGACAAGTTGGATGCATTTGTACATGGAATCGTCGAGTCACACACTGGACTCGTCGAGTATGCTGTCCAGACAGCAAAAATTAATTTTTTTTCAACTAGTTGCATCAAGTATAATTTAAAACAACCCATGGCTCTAATACCACTGTTGGGTTTTAGTATACTACAACATCCTATGGTGCACATACAACCCTAAATACCTTGGATCTATGTTTTCACTAATTATACATGCAAATGGTTTCCAAGGTAGTAAACCTACAACTAGCATGCATTTGATATAAACCATATAAAATACTAGTTAGGATAACATAACTTTTGATGGAGCTTGAATTCTTGGTGTATTTGGCCTTAAAGAGCTTAGCTCCAATAGTGTGGAAGCCTCAATTTGAATCACAACACATCATGGACAAAGTACAAACTTGAGAGAGAATTCTCATGCACACAAAACACCACCAACTACAACAATACACTTGTCGCAATTTAAGGCAATGGAGCATGTATTTATATGTGGGATTTCAAAGGTCATGGATATAACCCAAATCCATACCCATGGGTTTTATGATCCATGGTTCATGTGGCCTAACTCTTTATTTATCCATATATAAACTTGGTCTAACATGGATCATAATCCCAACACATATAAATATAACTAATTAACATAATTAGTCCCCATACATTTAATTAGTCTCTTTTGATCACTAAATTAATTCTTGATCAATACTAATTAACACACATGATTTCATATTAATATATTAGTACTTATAATATATTAATAAATCATATATAACCTTATCTCAAGAGTCTATCCAAACAAATTGTCCTGATGATATGCAACCCAAATGGACCATGCTACTCTCGGGTCAAGTACATACCAATAATAGTTAAGGGCTTAGACATCTAATCCAAAAGTCTCTCACTTGGATAAGTCTAAAACTATTATTTCAAGTATGACTTCATAACCCGACTAGCAATCATAGATCTTAAAGTCATTGTCGAACTCTGAACAAATTAAATGACGCGTTTATTAGATAAGTGATCATATATTCCTCCATTCTAGATATCATATGGACTGAGAAATGGATTATAATCATTCTCTCTATCCATTTGTTGTTTCCCACTTTTCGATTTATGACAACTGACTAATCGAACAAATCAAATCAGTCCAGGCTTGGCCAAGCACTTAGGGGTGTCATCACTAAATCATCAAGGGGCCCACATATATCGCTTTTCTCCTTATGAGGTAAAAGGAATGGATAAACTTCGACTCATATGCTTGTACTAACTACTTGTTGAATGATACACAAAGGCACGTTTTATAACATCAAGTTACTGATGCGTTTTCATACAATCAATGTACAACCAACTCATAGTCAACAACTCATATCTCTAGGTTTGAAGAATATAGGATATTATCGTCTCATGATTTACTCGTGATAAAATTCATGAAGTGATTCAAATGAGCGTGGGTTTAATCCAATACTCACACCTTATGAGCACTCATGAATGTTGCAACAACCGTTGCTATGTCTAATGCACCTTAGACAAATCTTACAAGCCAAATTCATGACAGTCTTAATTCAATACCTACTTCCAACGTATGACCGAATATGGATGGTTTGAATAACCTAGTTATTCAGGAAGTCGAAACATGCAAAGTGAAACACAAGAATAATATTAATCATATACGGCCCCAACACTTTTAGTGTAAATAAAAAACCCTTTTATCTAAGCACCATATTGATTAATAATTATTCATTGTATAATGTTTCGATTTATCAACGTAATACTTGAATTAAAACAATAGTCATGCCATGCTCCAAGCATGCACACTATGTTTACCTATGGTCCTTTCTTTTGTGAAATAGATCACTTGAACACGACTCCAATGATGCTCATTTCACAATCCCAATCCCTTTTGTAAATGTAAGAATACCAAACTCTTGCCATTTATTATAATCTGCTAGATTCTAAACCTATATGTAATGATTCTCTTGTAATAACTATGCACTTCTGAACAAGAGTTGCCTCTTTTCAGAATATGTTAATATGGTCCAAAGTTTACATTATACTTCCAATTTTCCACGATAAACCAATCTTTGGTAAACCTCAGGTTATCCTTGATAATTGTTTAATCATTTTAGACATATCCGATTCTATTCCTTTTTATTATCCATGTTCTCACAATTTGAACTATGAAGAGGGATGTCGTAATCATAATCGAATTTTGAGAATGCAACATATATAGAATTTCCTTATGTTGAACCATTCCAACATAACATTCATATATATCTTTGACTAAGGTTGATTAAAATCTCAATCTAAGCTTGTAGAATTGGAATGAAGTATAAAATCATCTCCCTTAATGATTGCAAAACAACTTTTCAAAGCGAATTGAAAATTTTGTTTTCTATAATTAACATTGCTAACCTGCAACACGTAACATAATAATCATGCTCCCACTAACATGATAATTATGATTTAACAAGCATAACACTTTATGCTCCCACTAGCTAAGAGAGAAAGAGAGCTAATATTTGGGCATTTTAGTGCATTATTTGAAGAAAAGAGAAGAGTATCAATGAAAAGAACAAGAAGGGATTGTTGGATCTGGTGTTATTTCATCCATAGCTTCTGTTGAAGGTAAAAAGTCTCCACCTTTCTCATTAGGTTGAGTACATCTCATGTTTATGGAGTTTTAGGGCTTTTTCCATCTTTCCTTGAGACTTTGAGTGTGTTGAGCTTACCAAGTGATCGAGACTTCAGATCTGGACCTTGTAAGGTCCCTAGAATCCAGAAAGTCCCAGCTTTATCCAGCTAATAGAATAACTTTTATGATTAATACCCTAAATGGAACTTGTTTTGGCATTTTAAGACCTAAGTGCCATGCATGGACTTAAAGTTTGTAGCTTTATGTGGTATCTCAGCCTTGGGAGGCTAGATCTACAGTTTGGGGTTGTAACTCTACCTTAAAACGTCTGAATGAGAAAAGAGCCTGAAATGACTCAAGGAGTCGATGAGCTGACTCGACGATTCGGTTAGGGTTTTACTCGATGATTCTGGACATGATTAACTTGGCGAGTTGGTGAGACAACTCGACAAGTTAAGTTAGATTTCTGCAACATTTCTGAAGAAATGAGGGGACTCGGCGAGTCACATAGATGCACTCGATGAGTCGGGTCAACATGGACTGTTGACTCGAGTATTAACTTTTGTTGACTTTAGGGTTTGATCAAGAAAGATATTGTGGGGAACATGGAGGGGTAAAATGGTCTTTTACCCATCCTAAGAGTTAGCGAGAGAAAATAGCATTTGGTTTATTTAGAGTTGTGATTGGTGTGTTAATTAGAGATAATTATCATATGTGTTAGGCGGAGGCTAGATCGGTGATTCATGTACGAGGCTTATTTGCTTGCTTGCTTATGAGGTGAATCTTCTCACTATACTTACCAAGAGTGGTAATCTGTGTGTGATCGGAGGGTCTTGTGTGCTTATGTTGAGTATTATGGTATTATGCTATAACGACCCGATTATTCAAAGGAAAATTTTCATTTTTGATTAACCAAACACATTTCCATAAATTACAAAATCCCATATATAATTGTTTTCAAACTCATATCAATTACAACTTTTATTTAAAATATCAGAGTCTCCATAAACGCCTGTGTGAGAGTGTATGTCGTGCCATCACGCCTTGCCCTTGCCCTTGGGATCTGATGTACCTGAAACAAATCCACAACCTTTAAGCTAATGCTTAGTGAGTTCCCCAGAGGATACCCCATACATAATCCACGTAACTCGTATCATATTAGCTATAAAAGCTT